CTGAAGCGATTCAACATCGGCCCGCGGGCCCGCCAGCTGATAATAACGCATCCAACTTAAAGCCGTCTCCCACGGGGGAAAGAGTGCGTGTGCCCCGCGCGTGCACACAATGGGAGGTCGCAGCATTGTTCATCTGAGAAGCCCTGGTTGCTGCGTTGCCTGCCGCGGCACACACACACACACACACACACGGGGAAAACCCACAAGGGGGGTGGCGTGACCTGGACAGATAGCACAGCGAGCACAGCGACAGGCTGTGATCTCCTCGGAGGAAGTCAGGGAGCAGAAATGGAAAGCCGGAGCGGCAGACACACTCGTCCGGAGGCTCACAGATGACCTTGACCTGGAACTTTCACAGTATCGAGCGAACCCATGTGCATGAGTAATTCAAGTTGTGGCCTCACGTGGCGGATCATCGATTGTTACCTGATCAGAGGCATCGGGGCGGGGCAGGTGGAGGCGGCTTCAGTCATCTCTCAGCCCGTTTAGTGAACCGCGTTGGATGCGTCTGTCTGTAAACAATCATTCCTTTTGTTCTTACCACGTGAGCATTTCAGTGCAAAATGATGCAGCTATTATTCCACCGCAGCTCCAGAGGGAAACACAATGACATCGTGAGGACACAGTGAAGACTGTAAATGACACTGGACACTTGGAACCGGATCGGCACCAGACTGTGAACCTGCTGCGAGGCGTCAGGAGGCCGCAGATGGATAGAATCCATTTCAGACATAATATATACAAAACCTGCGTTTTATATACGAATGTGCTCCATGATTTCCCAACGGTAACAGGAAACAATTGTTTTAGCCACTGTTGGCGAGCTAACGTTCCCTCGGATGTAGTGACACAAAAGAGGTTTATCCTATTTTAAAACAAGGCACCAGCCAAACCTCAACAGCTTCTTGTTTTGTCCAACCGACCGCCCGGATCAAGTTGAGTGAATTATCATAAACAGCCCAAAGCAGCTTCAAATCCTTAACCGGTCGGTTATATTGTTATACCAATTGGTGATCTAATCAATGTGTTTCAGCTCTGCAAAAATATAACTGTACTGAAAAGAACTACTGTTACATGTATACACGTGTGACCAGCACCTGAAGCAAATACAAGTCCTCTGTCCCTACTTTGAGGGACCTTGTTATTTAGTGTTGCAGGGTAAACTAGATGGTGGGGGACGAGTTTATCTATAATAACAATCTCAGGCTCCATTTCTTGTTGGCGAGTCTCTGCCTCTCTGGCAGGGAGAGCCCCGTCCTGACATTGTTCACAGTGTTTGCCTTTGCGCAGCGCAGCACCGGGGAGCTATTCGGCGTTACCGCGGCCCAACATTTCAACTCTGCCCTCAGAGGAAATGCAAACCTTTGTGGCTGCTTGTCTACGCATCTGATTTGCGGATCTGAAGCCCAGTCTCCACCACCGGTGAGGTCGTGTTCACACTTTTTCAGGGAAGGCTAACCACAAGTATTGGCCCTGTCGGCTACTTTATACTTCCACTCTTGTTCCTTGTGGCAACCTAGCAGGGTAGGGTGAGGGCAGTCCTGCACTTCACTTCTTGTGTTCCGCCTGTAAGGCAGAGGTAGGATTTAAATCACAGCAGCATGCTCAAACTGAAATGGGGTTAGAATACAAAACCAAAAAACACTTGCATGCTTTGAATGTGCATTGAATTCTCCTGACTTTAACAGAACTGAATGAACAGGAAAAAAGAGAAACTGAGTTGTTAGGCAAGACGCATGCTGCGAATTCAGGCTCATTTAAATTATAGCGACTTATATCCTTGCACATGCAGTTCTGCAGGCGTGACAGAATCAGGTTAAAAAGGCAGAGGGAATAAAACATCATGTCACTTCAGCGGGGTGACTTTCATAGCAGAGCAGAGCTTCTTCTCTGCCGGTGTGAAGCCAAGAAGCTAATGATAGCTCTGGTGAGGCTAATGCAGCATCGTTTTATCCCCCGACCCCCCCCCCCCCCCAAAAAAAGAGAACAAGCACTGCTTTTAATCCTTAAAAAAAAAAGCTGCGAATGAAGCCTGAAGTTAAATCAACTTCAAGCGCAGGACGAGTCTCATCAGTACCAAGCAACTTGTATTCTTAGGGCTTCTCACTGTCAATTTCATCTGTGTCCTCGTGTTGCGTCGTACTTCATGAATAAGTCATCAGTCCCCCCTTATTCCCCTTCGGCTTATTGCTCCTTCTGCTGCCTCCCCAGCCTTGTAAAAAAACAACCAAAGTGTTTATGGGAGATAAGAGGCAAAGGAGGTCTCAGGCCCAATAACAGCTTTCATCACCCCACGGTGTGCAGCGAGGGGCCAGTTTACGGCTGGATTTGCTAAAGACGAATTCTTAATTAGAGAAGTTTGTGGACCCGGTATCAGAGGCCTAATGGGGGAATAAAAATAGGCATCAAAAGGGCATCTGCTGGATCGCATCACTGTCCCGTCTTATAGTGACGACGTGACTAAACCGCTCTCGGTTTCTTCTTGCAGCAATGTCAGTGATAAAGAGCCTTTTACCAAATGGGCTCGCAAGGCTTGTTTGGTTAGGTGTGAATGTGTTTGTCTCAAAGAGGGAGTCTTTTGTAAAATGAGTTCAGGTTATTGATTGTCTCACGAGCTTATTAATGGAGTGCACCCTGCCAGAGGAATCACTGCCTCCGCCATTAAGGCGGGCAGATTGTAAATTCCTGCCCAGGCGATTTAGAGGCTTAGGATGATAAGAAATGCACTGTTTTGTTCTGAGATTATTTGAATGGTCAACAATAGTGTTCTTATAATAATATTATATAATATAATAATACTTCTATAAGCAACAGAACCAATTTATTCTGGTGTCAGGAGAAATAGGAGCGAGGTGCGATGGACGTGAGCTCAAATGCTGTTTAATCAACCTGGCAACATGTTTCACCAGACCAGATGATAACAGGGCTACTGTGTCCCAAGCTGCATGTAATAATAAGATGTCAAAAATGTAAATTACTTACTGTAGTTTTCTGAAAAAGAGTTGTTTAATATGCAGGCGAGGAAGTATGATAGCAACGTTAGCGGCATTAGTTTCCCCCTTAAAGCAGAAGCAAGCTGGGACCGACTTTACCGGACAAACAATTTTGGTTAGAAATGTAGCAAGCGGTTACCGTTTCTGATGTCAACCAAAAAGATTCGACAACTAAATCCAGAACAACAGAGCGTTAATCAACAAGTGTGACCCTCCCCATCCCCCCGAATCAACCCTGCTGTAAAGCCTAGATTAACCATCTCTCACTTCATTTAGATGGAGGATTGTTTTGGGGTTTGCCTGATTATGTCTGTCTGGAGCACACGCTATTGGCATTTAACGAAGATTAGATTTAAATTGACGATTAACCTTTGTAATCCTGAGTGCATATTGAAAATGGCTTACTTGTCTTTACCACAGCCACAAAAAAAAGGGGAGCCGCATTATCGTCGAGGGAAAATTGAGGCTCGCAAAGCAAACTAGGCGACGTTTTCCCTCTCGGTGCTCGGCCAAATAACGCGGATGATTCTTCAGACTTGAGAACCATCTCACAATGAATACGAGCAGATTAATTTTTTCGTGCATCTTGTAATAAAACTTTGCGTGACCCTGACAAGCAAGTGCCTTATCTCACAAGAAGGGAGTGTAAACTTGTGGGAACAAGTGGTTGCCATTCTTTGGGGAGCTAGCACACAAGAAATGAGTAATTTCTCTGTATTTAAGTACGACTGGGGAGGGACGGCTTTAATTTGCTGGGCAATGAGCTTTCCCATGTGGGGTGCTCCCTGCATTCAATCACAAGCCAATGCACCTGCATCGGCTTCTCTATGAAATCAAGGCATAGATATACGGCCCCCCAAACTGAACAAACACAAGCAGGATTCGTTTCAATGGGCTCTCTGGAAACTACCACCACTACTAACTACTGTACATCTTATTATTTAGGTGATATGATTACTATTTACATAATATTGAATCTGTTAACTGTGAGAATATAGTGAAAAATGCCCGTCAAAACGGCTTCAGCTGAAGAATATTACATGTATTACCATCAAAGGTCAAATCTACTAAACATGGTGAAGCACATTTACTTGCATGCTTCATACATATGGAACCAACTGCAGGTTGGCAGCAACTCTGACTTCCTTTTAATCAAAGCTGAAGACTTTTTTGGAATCGTGTCTTACACTGTAGCTGTTATTCTTCTATTCGGTTCCCTATTTTCCTCAAGCTTTGTTTTTTTTTTCTATTTTCTTGGATTTGTCATGGCTGTATTGACATTTAAATAAATGTATTTAAATGTCCCTTCATGCCTCGGTTTTTTGATGTTTTATGGAAAGTGCTTTGAATTTCCTTGTTGCTGGAATGTGCTTTACAAATAGATTTGCCATGGAAGCGCAGAAAATCTTTTTTGTCATTTATGATTGAAAACAACAACTCACAGTCTGATGCTACTTTGAGACTCATAGACTGCAGTCAAAATGTTTACTGAATGTTCTTTATGCATTTCAACTAATCAGTTAATCAACTAATTGTTTCAGCACTAAATGTCTTACAGGAATATGAGCTTTTGTTTATTACATTTTACTCTTAACTTTCCATGAAAGCTTTGATCCAGGGTATCTGAACTCACCTGCTGAACTTTTACATATACTGGTGAAATGAGGATGGTGTATTATTCTTTATTCTTTAAAGCTAGGAAGCTACCATAAAATGCCATACAGCCTAATCCCACCATGCTCCATACCTCTGGAGCGCCTTCCAGCCCACAGCTTGTAATCCTGCTGCAGTTTATTAAAGGGATGTGATGCAACGTGTGTGTGATGAAAAATCATTCTGAAGGTGAGTGAGTTTTATTGGACCGAGTCATCCTCTTAACTGGGACAGTTTTTGTTAATCACACAATCACTTTAAAAACCGACAAAAAAATGGTATCAAATATACGGATAGGATCTAAAAAGCACCCCCCCCCCCGCTCTCCAACCAGGTACACTCGGCCAAGCGTACCTGCAAAGACCACGGCAGCAATGTGGGATCGAAGCGCTGCAGCCCGTCCAGACTGCGATCACGTGTGTTTTTAGGGTGCAAGCGGTTAATCTCCCACGGTGACTCCAGCCGAGAAGCAGTGGACAGACACAAAGACACACAAATGTGTTTTATTTACAGTATCAACACCGGAGCAGAGGTTAACAAAACACTAACGACTTAAAAAAACAAACATTTAAGCTTTTTGAATAAAAATCATTTCTAAACAGTTTGAAGCTGGATATTATTTACTGCCAGTCCCAATTGAAAGAATCCCAATTAGGAGAAAACAATGCTGTTTTATAGAAAGTAATAGTCAAAGTGAAAAAAACGAACGCTAAAGGCCAACAGGAAAATAGTCTTCTTTATCCTTTTACACCCAAGTTATTAGTTATCAACTGGCAAAAACTCAATGTTGAAGGTGCTGAACATCTGCTACACTCATATTGTAGATTTGTGGAAACAACATAATTATCTACGTAATTACGAGTAAAGAGTGAGCAAACAAATATGCTGCAATAAACTGAAAAAAAAACCATGCAGGAATCAAAATTGGAAACCAATCTGTACCGATGTCCCCGATATGTGAGAGCAATTTAAATTATGGTTTCATTAACAAGATCGAGCTGATTGTCAGATAACAATACTACACACTGTGACAAAGTCACAGTTACAGACAATCATGTTCCCCCATTAAGATCAACGCTCTGTTTAGATGGGCCATTTTGGAGCTGCAGCTAACAATAATCTTTATTTCATCTTCAGACTTTTTAGATAGCCATGTCATTGTTTAGGCTAAGTGTTGCCGAATGATAGCACATAAAGGAATTTCTCATCATAGTGCTTGATTTTGTTTCCTACAATCAGGACGACGAAAAAGCTCCACTCGTCACACACAGCTGGAAACAGAAGATGTTTGCTTGTAATAATTCATGAAAATGTATTTGTATTCTTGTTAGCCAAGATGAGTTCCTTTTTTTGCTCATCTAATAGTTTAAAATACACAAATATTCAATGTACAATCATATACCTTTGGTGGTGTTTGAAGAGTTTTAGTTCTGCATTACGCTGTATTATTTCTGTCGACTTTGTGTAACTATGGATGTCTGCTGAATGACTATTAAACAGGAAAAGGGTCATTGAGCTTGTGGAAATGGGTGAATCTAACAGCGATTCATCACATTTTATTCTCTCTTTAGTGCAACACCTATGAGAGATACAGTACCATGTATACTCTTTATAAAGGGGATACAATGTGAAATGGGGTCCCTAACAAGGTTGTCGAGCTTAAGCATTAAATGAGTAATGCACTTGATAGAAAGTGGAAAAGGGGCCATTGGCCCCCAAGCTTCATGCCCCTGATTTGGCAACGCAGCTGGTGTGATCGTTTCCTAAGAAAGTTGTAGTTTTATTTCAACACAATCCTTGTATAAAATAAATTAAGTTAATGTTATCTATTACAAATTTGAACGTAGATATAGTTTAGTAAATCGCAAATCGGCAGCACCCTCCCACCCACAAAATGAATAGGAAGAAAGCCAGACAGCATATTTCAGAGATCAATTCTAGTCCCAGATAAGTTGCATTCCCCTGAGATGGGAAACGGGAGAGAGAGCGTCTCTCGTCGGGGCGATCTCCCTCCCAGAAACCAAGATGAACAGTCTCATTCAGCACCGTGGACAGCTCCCTGCACAGCCCAGAGAGATGGCCGCTAAACCCTCCTGCAGCCAGCACGACATCCTTAACGCTGGTCAGATCTCCGGGGGCCACTTACCCGCGTGAGAGCGAGAGTGTGAAATGCTTGCTTGCTGTTAACATCTATTTGTGAAAGACCGCTTGGAACTTTTACTAATCAGATTTCCACGTGAACAAAAGCTTATTTGTGTTGAACGGTTGTGATCTGAAGGGCACTGAGGTCATCAATTGTAAAGCAGATTCTCTGCGCTGCTTTTGTTGGGTACATGACCTTCCCACAATAAACCCAAATAAATGTCTTAAAAGATCCACTTTCATATTTAGACAAATCCAGATCTTCGCCTTTAGAAGAAATGTCAAACGTTGCTTCTGGTGGACGACCGCCCAATGCTTGACATTTTGTTCACGTGAGTATTCATCTGCTCATTTAAAATTACCAGCAGTAATGTGCAAAGAGAAAAGAGAGCAGACAAAGCAGAGATGGCTCCTCGGAGTAAACCTGAATTAATGCTACTCTACCTGTGGTTCTTTCCTAAAGACTGACAAACACGTGATCTTCTTTTAATGAAGATCCTGCAGTTGATCTGAGGTCTTTCAATATGCAGAACATTCATAAAGTGGCCCTTTATTATCCCTGATTATCTTACAGCCTCCACGCAAATGAGAAAAGGTCTTGTTCCAGTGAACTCGTTTCATTAAAATGTCACTTAAATATTCTGCTCTCGGGCCATCACAAATGAGGAATACATTTAAATATTTCACAAACAGAAACCAGCTGAAATCTGTTAGTCACAAAAATTAAAAAAACATAAACTCACGCAAAATAAATTGGTACATATGGCGGCGCAGAGACACCAGAATCAAAACAAATCTCACACCACATGACGGGGGTCACGATTCCTCCGAGCGAGAGACACCGTTAAGCTCACAAATATCACAAGACGTGGGCGCGATCTAAAAAACATATGGATGCGCGACGCGCGGTAATGAGGGACGTGGCTGACTTGCCGCCTGCTCGTGTGAGGTAGGAGGAAAACAAAGGTAATGAATAAATAACTTGGCCCCTTGTCAAGCTGGAATGATGAATCTACTTCCTCGCGCCCGACGCTGACGGCTGCGTCAGGCTTTCTTGAACCTCTTGATGAAAAAAGGGCCCGTGAAATGTTTTCACTGGAAGGTGTCGCTCCTTTTGCACCCGCTCCTCCCACCCCGTCCCTATTATTTCGAACGGCGGTAAATTAAGCAGAGGAGAGCCTGTTGTGGGATTCTGCCATCTGATTCTGCCTTCCTCTAATAAGGCTTTTCCCCAAAGGATGACTTCAGACTCTTTTGATGATGAAGACGCAGCTCCCCAGTGGCCGGCGTTGACTGTTCCAACGCTGCTTTTTAATACGGCGTCGTTGGTGCGCATGGTGGGTATCGGCTCCCGGAAACGTGGCACGCGGCATATGGACCGAGGGGCGGCTCGTTGCACCGCCGAGCGCTGCCTGCCGCACACTCATGAATTATGGAATTCGGCACAAATATGCAAATGTGGGCATTAGCCTAGTTATTCCCCTGTACTGTAAGTTACAGTGACTTATCTATTATGTATGAACCAAGGACGGGAGTGAAGAGGTCCTGGAGGCCGGCAGTTTCGTGGCCCCTCTCTAAGGTCCTTTTTTCACAATCTGAAAAAAGCATGAATCGCAGGAGGGAGGAGGGGCGGGATTCCGAAATGCCTGCAACATCTCCAAAGACATGGGAGAATTAGGGCTTGCTCCCATGCTCGATTGCCAAGCTACTTAAAACAACAATGGCTTCAACAGGATTTTGAGGCCCGGGAGATACGTCGGGGAATGAGCATGAGGTTGTCGCTAATCCTCCAATTTCCCCCCACAAGGCAGATAAAGCCAGTCGGTTCAGAGAGCCGTCCGCAGGGGAGGATGACAGGAGATCCAGTCAGCTACACAGCCTGAGTATGGCATTACCATCATAATGCAGGATGAGTGATTGTACCCGGGGTGACCTAATCACAGCAGCGTAAATATCCAAAATCAAAAAGCCTGCAGAGGTGAGAGGTGGTCGAACGGCTCGGCTTGGAACTCGCACGCTCATTCCGCTCAGGCCGAGGAATCCCTGCTGCCGCTCGGAGACCGGCGGAGCGACCGTCAGCTCAGATCAGAGTCCGTCATCGCACACATGACAGCTGACAGCTTCTATTTAACAAGGTTCCCCCGGAAATGATGATACCTTGTTCTGGTACGCGCAGTCACTATGGTAACGGGAGCAAACCAGTTTTTCAAACTGTGCCTCAATCAGCAGCCCTGCTCGGTTGAAACAGGAGAACATTTGCTGAAGTTGAACTGGAGAAAATTGTATTGTGGTTGTATGTATATTGTGTAATGGTAATCTATCAGTTTTCGAAACAAATATCTGGACATTGTATTAGAGTGGTCCAAACTTCAGAGCTCTGAGCGGTCTGGCATTTGAGAAGCAGCGTTATTGTGAGACAGTGTTGATTTTCTAAGGCGCTAAAAACTAGCTAAACTATTCTCTTTTTCTTCTTGTACACACATAGTTAGGGTTGCAAAATGCCCAGAATATTTAAAGTAGGAAACTTTCCATGGGAATTTATGGGAATATACAGAAATTAATTGGAATTAACAGAAATAAATTGAAAATTTGGGGTTAGATTAACTGTATTTACCATATAGGACGAAAGAAAATGTTGTCATAAGCAGACACTCTTGCAAATATTTGCATATTTCTCCGCTAATTTCTGAAACTCCGATGGAAAGTTTCCGTAAATTAGCAGAAATTGTTTGCCCCTCGGCAACCCGACATACCGTACTAGTGAAGTTAAGATACAACTTTGTTCAGCTATTACAACACAAAGCGAGAAGCAGGATTTGGCGAATGGATGAATATTTGTTGGCTTTTGGCAAATGTCTCCTCACAAAATGCTCGGCGGGCCAGTAGCGGCGGAAAGACGCGTTTGGAGCCAGCACATTCTCACATCTACATTTTTAGATTAAAAGGTTTCTTTTTCATTAAACTGAATTTGATATATTGGTAAATGACTGTTGTTGGGTGGCAAGTTGGAAATTTCTACATATCGGCCAACACCAGTGGGAAGAGTGCGTTCGTCCTTTTACAAGATTCAACATTTGGGAAGACTAATCGAGCTTTTGAGTTTGTATCTCACTCCCAAAGTGTAAACTGGCAACAAACTATTTCACACAATTTTGACACCTGCGGAGTCGTTGGCAGCTCCACAAACACTCAATTACACATTAATCAAAGCAACAACGCTAGCTAGCATTTTCTGTAAGTTATGAAATGCCGAACATGATAAACAACCAGACTTTCAAAACTCCAGATATCTGTAGTTGGTTAACTTCCAGTGTGTTATTAGATATTACAAACTAAAGGTAAGGCCCACTCACACAGATATGGCATCAATCAAATTACAGCACCAACCAAAAACCAGCAACCTCTGGATACATAACTATAGTGGAGGCTATCGCTGTACGACACAAATTTCCACTTTTTCTTTTCAGGGATTGTAATTTGGACCAAATGAGCATTTTAGTCAAAACAAACAAAGATATTTACTCTTGGAAAAACTCAATTTTAATTTCAGTCGGAATTTACTGGAGAAATGAAGGCGTTGAGATAGCAATGATCACTTTTTACAGCAGAAAACCGCAGTTGTTTTTATCTCTAAAGGGACAATAAACCACAACCACAAGGAAAAGTACATTTGTTGTACATTCATTTGCATTTTGATAAATAATCCTGCATGCTTGAGCTAATAGTTGGTATTCTGTAATTCAAAAACCTAACCTCACCAAACTCCATTCCTTATGTGCTTCCTCTTGCTCATCATCGGTAAAGCTTACGGACAAAGAAAACACATTTTTGTTTTGTTGCTCTTCTCCTCCAACCCCCTCCAACAAAACATATTAACAGGAAATTTTACCCCCCCACCCCTCTCCACCTCTTCTGCCTCCTTCCTTCCCTCACTCATGAAACCCTCCTGACATCGGGCTGTAACGTCCACTGCTCGGGTTCATTTGTCCGCTCATAAATCACTGACACACCTCGGCCTCTCCTTGTGTATTTAGTAATGGCAACACCTCCCTGGATCACCATTGTCTTTACAAGCGGACTCACAAACACTTTCAGGAAGTCTCCCGTCCAGCCGCCTGCCTCCTGTGCAGCTTCGCTGTCGCTCACACATTTGTTTTCCGGGACAGGGGACAATAAACCAAACATCCGTCCCGGTTCAGCTCCCCACAAACAGCGGACCGATTCATGGTGACTAGTCGGGGATGAAAATAACGAGACCATCTTTCCTGTTGACCCTTCGCCATCTTTCTTTCTGTCCGAGCAATTTCATTTTCAGTTGCCTTTCAGTTACGATTATGTTTGCATCCATTGTGTTACATGTATTATTATTTGCCACACAAGACACACTGTTAATTTGACTAATGATCAGTTGTTAATAATTAGTTTCGCACAGATCTTTTATTTTCAAGACATTTGATATCTTGTAAATTCTGACTTTTCTTTTTCAGTGATTGATTGATTAAAGTGGCCTGATGAAAAAAGCCAGTACGGTTCCACGTACCCATAATGTACATCACCGCCCTTATGACTAAAGACTGCAAAAAGATGGATCCTTTTTCTAAAGGCTAATTAAAGCCCACTTTGAAAGACGGGACGAGGCTGATGCTGAGAAACGGCGCGTTTCATTTGAATTTCATCAGAGAACTTCAACACCCAAGGGCGAAAAATCTTCAGTCAGACGTGGGTGGAGGGTTTGGGCAACTGCATTTAGGTTGATCCCTGAAGCCCCTCATCAAAATCCACTATGTTGGTATCTTCATGCACACACATCCGACACACGGCCGAGCAGGTTTTGTAAAAACACTTTCTGTACATTAGCTCTTTACCCAGCTTGCTTTTTGACGCTTCACCGATCGAAGGGACCATCCGGCATCAGCTCTCTACCTGCTTTTGGTAACGTTTGGTGACTGGTGATTACAAGGATCCACCGGGGACACATTTCTCATATGTATTTGTTCGGTGCTTTGTGGAAACGCTGCAGCTAGAGGCAGCCGCTCACACAAGCCAACACCCACCTGCTCGTAATTAAAGGTGAATTGCATAGCCGGTGGTCATTTGCATGCTGTGACGTTGGTGCACGGCTGCTAGAATTTCACCAGACAGGTCTGACAGCAGATGTAGGCGGTGTGATGCTCAGGGGGGGGCATCACACCGCCAAGGCCATACATTTGCCCAACGGCGGGGATGTGGCAATTACCATTCGCTGTATTTGTCAGCTCTCTGACTTATTTATCAAGAAACAGGGTGGCACCTTCCTCCAGCACGAGAGGTAGAACTTATGTCTGCTGGCGCTGGGATGTTATTTGAATCGAATTTAAACGCACTCAACTTATTCGATTCCAGCCCGAACTTTTAATGCATGTGAAGTTGATTTTGCGTGGCAAAGGATCTATTAAAGATGACTCTTAGGAGCTTATAAAGCTTTAATTTCAATTCAATTCATCGGATGTAGCATTAATTTGTTTTCCTTCTACCTCACATTAATTAGCTGAATCAATGATCTATTCCTGAGGATTTAAATGTGATCTGCAGGGGAAAAGACGAGGCAAGCACGTTGTGAAATGCCAGAGATTCCGCTCGCTGCGAGGCGACACTGGCTTTATCCTGTGTGCAATAATCAGTCAATTCAAAAGCATAAAACACCCTTTTGTCAAGACGCACGGGGAATCAAGTGTTGCGCGGAAGCGCGCGCGTGTTTCTACGTCGGAGCCGCTGTGTGTTTCACACAAAGTAGAAGAAAGAAAATGTGGTTACCTCGCACGGGGGGGTTCGGTGAGGGTCTCGTTGCGCCTCTCGGGGTTCGGGTTGATCTCAGAAGCAGCGCAGGAGGGAGAGGAGGCGGATGAGGATGGTGCCGATGATGCCGGACCACGGAGCGCACCTTTGCGCACTGCCGGTCCAAATAGAGGAAAAGCGTCCTTCTCTCCTCTCGGCCACTCTCATAACTGAGTCATTTGAGAGCAGACACAACGAGGGGCGGGTAGAAGGAGAGAGGGGAGGGGATGGAGGGGGGCGTGAGTCGTTTCCTCGTTTATTCAAAGCGTGCAGCTCGACTCCCGTGCCCGTGCGGTGCGTAGAGAGGCGCGGGGAGAGTTGTGCCCGAGCCGCCGCTTTGCGTAGCAGACAGGAGGCAGCGGGGAGGAGCCGCCACCGGACCGGGGCAAGGTGCGCCTCCCGAGCCGGACTTTGACACAGTAAAATCCTCCACTTCCTGTTTGTGTTCGAACTGCAGATATGTGGCCAGGTGACACATCGCATGTATCATACTGAAATTGAAACGTGCATAAGGGACACTGAAGAGTCATGAAAGCGTAAAGCGTCATAGTGTCAAGCATGGGACGCGCTGACCAAGCAGGCGACTGGGATTGAGAGTTTTTGCAAATATTTGCTGTTGACTTGGCCTCGAGGCTGCATTACAATGTTTTATTAAAAAGATGCAATTCAGTTGATGATGATCAATGATTTGGGGCCTTGAAAGTCCTTCACAGATCCATCACCTTTCCAAGTGGCAAAGTAAGCACGCTTTTCATAATCATTTCTAACAGTTAATGTTTCTATATTCAGACACATAAGATATATATACGGGTGTGGTCAAAATATTACATACACTTGTAAAGAACATAATGTCATTGCTCTCTTGAGTTTCCATTCTCTGAGAGTGCTACTATTTGGTTACATGTCCCTTGGCCATTTTCACTCCCATTAGGCGCTTTTGGGAGCCACCCACAAGCTTCTGGCAAGCTTCTCGTTGAATCTTTGACCACTCCTTTTGACAGAATTGGTGCAGTTCAGTTAAATTTGATGGCTTTCTGACATGGACTTGTTTCTTCAGCATTGCCCCCATGTTCTCAATGGGATTTAACTCAGGACTTTGGGAAGGCCATTCTAAAACCCTAATCCTAGCCTGATTCAGCCATTTAATTATCACTTTTGATGTGTGTTTGGGGTCATTGTCCTGTTGGAACACCCAACTGCGCCCAAGACCCAACCTTCGGGCTGATGATTTTAGGCTATCTTGAAGAATTTGAAGGTAATCCTCCTTCTTCATTATCGCATTTACTCTGTAAAGCACCAGTTCCATTGGCAGCAAAACAGCCCCACAGCATAACACTACGACCACCGTGCTTCAGGGTAGACGTGGTGTTCTTGGGGTTAAAGGCCTCACCTTTACTCCTCTAAATATATTGCTGGGCGTTGTGGCCAAACAACTCTGTTTTTGTTGCGTCTGACCACAGAACTTTCCTCCAGGAGGTCTTTGTCCATGTGATCAGCAGCAAACTTCAGTCGAGCCTTAAGGTGCCGCTTTTGGAGCCAGGGCGTCCTTCTTGCACGGCAGCCTCTCGGTCCATGGAGATGCAAAACACTGTCCCCTGCGTTCCAGCAGCTTCTAATTCTTGACAGATCTGCTTTTTGGTGGTTCTCGGTTGACTCTTCACCCTCCTGACTAATTTTCTCTCAGCAGCAGGTGATAGCTTGCGTTTTCTTCCTGATCGTGGCAGTGACAAAACAGTGCTATGCACTTCATACTTACAAACAATTGTTTGCACTGTTGCTCTTGGGACGTGCAGCTGCTTTGAAATGGCTCAATCAAGTCAATGATTCGCTTTTTCAGATCCATGCTGAGCTCCTTTGACTTTCCCATTGTAGCGTTTGTGGGTATTATTATTTAGTCACTCATAATCACTCACAAGAAGTCAAGAGGCCACGCTATGAAGCTCATTGCATTGACACAACTTTCTAAGTCATCAAAATTGCTAATACATGTTGCTGTATGTATATTTTTGACCACAACTGTACAAATGCCGTGCATGAAAGAACACCTGAGCGTGTGCTGCTCTGCCCGTATTGAAAAGACAAAACATGTTATGTTTGACGGCAGACTTTTAAAACAAAGTGTTTCCATTCCAACAGCTGTAAGTGTTATGTTGAACTTGTTTGGGACCCGGCGACTCTAACAGCAACAGCCCGCCATCTACATTGTTCAGTGAGCCATTGGAAAATGCCTCATCACTGGAGGAAAAGATTGTATTGACTTGATCTGAAACCATCTGCATGTTATTACCATAATATCCTCCACTTATTTATTCAGGTTTTCCTTGTCTGTAATTAGTATACCGCTTTTGAACAGGAATATGTGTGCTATTGTGCAAATATGTAGCGCAGAGGATTATGAAACCGGGATTAGGATAAGACCGTTACAGACATCTGCGTGTTTTGCTTGTCTCAGAAATGAATAATTCTTACCCGCACTCACTAAACAGTGAACTTTAAACTCCAGCTTGGTTTCTAAGTTTAACTGTACTCATTAGCATAAGCATTCTCCCAAACATCTGCTTGAGTCTGCACATATCAGACTTTTAACCTCTCTGAAAAAGACAACGGGCAACATGTGTGTGTGTGTGTGTGTTTGTCTAACAACCGCATCGACCGCGCTGACGACAGTCTCATAATCCAAGCTGTCGTATCCCGACGGCTAAAATGAGAGGCAAACAGAGGGCAAGAGAAGGGTGCATTTATATTTCAGCAGCCCCGGCCGTCTTCGGAGAGTGGGGGAAAGACAGAGGTCACATTTGACTGCTTAAAAATGTATGGCGATTGTACGAAAAAGATGGCAGCCGCATGTAGAAATGAATGGGCGTAAATGGGGACACTGAAGTATCCCAGTCAGCATCAGTGAAACTCAAATGGAAATCCGAGAGCTATGAAAAAAAAGTGGAGCTTTAATTGAGCACACGTAATCTCTTTTAAATGACAAGGTAACACTATGGAGTGGAAACTAAAAATCTGCTCTTCTTCATAAATGCTCTGCAAAATGAAAATGTTGGGAAATGGGGATTCTAAGACCCCAAGGGTTTCTGACCCTACTGAGGACAATCAGGGTGAGATGGAAAGGTTTCAGGCTGTACTACACGCGTGCAGATGTATGTATGTGATGTATATTTTACCAGGCCACGGTTCTCTGTGCAGAAGTGAAAACCGGCAGCCCAAAGCTGGCAAGACAACATGAGTCGAGGTCTGCAGCTCAATGTCAACCCTCATTCTGACTCAATGACGTTTTCATGGATGAAGGCAATATTTGAAAAATCCCATCTTCAATACCGTTAACCTTTCAGGTTATAGTCCGACATTAAAAAGGCAGTTCAACTCACTACTGAAAGGTATTTTATGACTTTCATGTTCCTTTCACAGCCGGCTTGTTCTTATTATTTTCAGTTCATTTGTCGATGGATTATTTAAGACACTGACCCTCACGTTGGGTTTAGTCGCTCGCCTGGCTCCGGTAAAGCAAACTCTTTTCATGTAATTTCACTGTTCCCCCCTCTTTGTCACTACTGAGCGTTGTGTAATCTGCTTCCACGACACAATGTGCAACAAGAGAGCTGCACCAGCACTGTTCGGATGTGTCCCGTCCTGGCCCGACTCCCGCTGATGAAATGTTCATTGAGCAGATGAAGCGTAGCGTTCTTTCATAATTCTCCTGAGGGTTGCGTCAGCTTGTACTGAAATTGTTCTATCAAAACCTGCAAAGAACATATTTGATGGCTGAGCGATCCTGTTCTGTTTGTGGATGATGAGTTGTGTGGAGCTTTTGAATAAATGCAAACATGGATACCCTTTTCCTTTCCACAGTGGCCTTTTATTGGCCCTTAAAGCCAGGGCAGATAGTGTATTGTTGGCGTCACAGGGCAAAAATTCCATAGTAACCTTTTTGCTTATTGTGATTTGAGTTGTACCAAGCAGTCTGCAAAAATAACAATAAGCTGCACATTTCAAATCTTCAATATACATGAATACAATGATGGAGAGAAAGTGTTGCTGGTAATTAAGCCTTTTGTTAACTGATGGCGTTGATGCTTCACCGATATTGACTCATTGCGTTTATTGTCAGACTCACTTTCAGACTCTTTTTAAGAGGTCTTTCTGAGTTGATTTGCAAACGATATGCATTGATAGAACAGCCAGGAATTTAACTCATTACAACGTTGCTTTCTGGTTGAGGTGACTATAGAATTACCAACTTTGAAGAAATACCCGAAAGCGGCTTGGTTACTGAACTACAGGATGGAGATGTTTCAACAACAATGGTTGTTCTTACGAGATAAGACAATATATTCCTTTATTAGTCCCACAACGGGGAAATTCACAGGATCGCGGCAGCAAAGTGGACAGCGCACACAAGATACATGGTAAAAACAACAAGACCAGCAGTAATAAGTAAGTAGGTAAAGAAATGTATAATAATGATAGACAAAATAAAAATAAAAGGATTGTAAAGACCACAGTAACTGAATATACTAGGACCTAAATAAATATAAGTATATGTAGACATAGTATACCTCAGTGGATATTGTCCTGGGTGCACAGTTGGTTGTGCAGCCCTACGGTATCTCTGCTTCACACACCAGGGGGTGAATCAGCCGCTGGTTGAAGGAGCTGTACAGATCTTCCAGGGCGTCCACCATGGGGTGGGAGGTGTTGCTGATCAGGGATGATAGCTTAGTCATCAACCTCCTGTCTCCCACCACCTCCTTCGTGTCCAGTGGACATCCTAGCACACTGCTGGCCTGATTGATGAGCTTGTTGACTCTCTTCCCGTCGGCCGCCGATATGCTGCTGCCCCAGCAGACCACTCCATAAAAAATGGCAGATGCCACGGCAGCGTCAAAGAAGGTCTTTGAGGAGTGCTCCCTGCACTCCAAAGGACCTCAGTCTCCTCAGCAGATATACTCTGCTCGGACCCTTCTTGTAGAGTCCACAGATGTGATCTGTCCAGTCCAGTTTGTTGTTCAAGTGAACACCCTGGTACTTATAAGATCTCAATGTCCGTTCCCTGGATGTTCACTGGTACCGGATGAGAGTGCTTAACCCGATGGAAGTCCACCACCAGCTCCTTGGTTTTGCTAGAGTTTATCAGGAGGCGGTTCCGCTGGCACCATCCTAAGAAGTCCTGGTTAAGTTCTCTGTACTCCCTGTCATCACCAGCGGAAATGAGGCCGACGATCACAGAGTCACCAGAGAACTTCTGTAGGTGGCAATTGGCAGAGTTATATTTAAAGTCAGAGGTGTATATGTTGAAGAGGAAGGGAGCTAGGATAGTTCCTTGTGGAGCCCCCGTGGTGCAGAACACCCGGTCGGCCTCACAGTACCGTATTCGCACATACTGTGGACGGTTGGGGAGATAGTCCTGGATCCATGCAGTGAGGTGGTGGTCCACTACGGACTGCTCCAGCTTGTCCTTCAGAAGTAGAGGCTGGATGGTGTTGAAGGCACTGGCGAAATCCAAAAACATGACCCGCACAGTGACCTCCCACCTTTCCCAGGTACGAGAGGCATCTGTGTTGCAGGTAGATGACAGCGTCATCCACCCCGAAAAGAGTGTAATCGTTGGATGCATCTGTACTTGTTACTGCAGGGACTCCAGCACCCCGTCGATTCTTCATGTGCAGTGTTTACAAGTGAAGTCCTTGGAGAAGCTTTTTGCCGCTTTGGCAGACACTTCATGTTTACTTAAGTGTTTGGAAATCAGAGAAAGCCTCTATAATATTTTCCATTAACGTGCATGTTGATGCACAGTCGCAAAGATTATTTTTTATTTCTATGAGTCGTGAGAATGTGTGTTTCACTGGTTAATTCATTCGCCAATAACGCAAAGTGCATCTACGCACCGTTTTTCCGGTATGTGTTCATTGAAAACAGTCTCATGTACTGTAACTGTCCAGATCTTTGCCTTTTGGCAAAGTACGCAACTGTGTACGGCTATGGGTTGGGTATGGGTGAAACTTTGAAATGCAACAAACAAGGAGGGTGAGTGTTTTGTTTTTTCCACCCATTTTAGGTAGTGTGCACTGGGATTAGCTTTGGTTTAGCGAGTGATCCCTTTCACATTAAGATATGACAAAAAAAGATTAGACGAGATAAAAGAATATTGAGTGCTCTAATCCGTATTTTGTGGAGTTATTTTGCATCTGTTGGCACCCATTTCCATTTTATGTAATGCTCCACCACTAAAATGTGCTCCATGTTCAGTCCTTTCCAAATGACTCACAGCTCTGCTGGGACTTCACGAGGAACTCGCTGCTTGGTTCGTACTCCCATTTTCTGCGAGAAAGTAAACACTCATGGTCGTTCATTTTGATTGCGCGCTGCTACTCGTTGAGTCTGGAGATTTCAACTCCGTGGGGTACGAGGTGAGTCTATCACCATGGGGACGGACGGCAGAGGCCACCCAGTTCCTTGCACGGCGATTTCTGTGAAGGTCAGGATCGAGAGCCGCGACCTCCCGCTCGTTGACCCACTGCCCAGACGGCTCTCATTATACTGTGAGTTGTACAAGTGTGTCGTGCATCACAAGAGGAGTTTAATATTTTTGTAAATGCATTAATTTTATATTCATGCAGAGAGTTACATGAGAAAAAATTACACCTTTTAAGAAGCCACTGCCAACTAACAAGGTTAGTTTGGCATGAAGATGGCAAATGTTCTTCATATAATCCTCAGTGAAACTCTTTGGTGTCCGTCTGTGTTGAATCTACGAGGTGTAATAAGGCATTGACTTTAGTTAAGAGGTGCTGGTAGGTGTCCTTTCTCACCCTCAGACAGCGACAACACTAACTGTCATGTTTATTGTACAGACGGGAGAGTGGTTTCAACCTTTTAATGTCTGCAAGAAAGCACATCCTTTTTTATTTATTTCTGACGAGGTCTAACTTATAATGAGTTATGTTAATGTTAAGCAAGTAGTGATTAATGTGGATTTTCTTCCTGTCGAAAAGAAGAAACACCTGTTCTTAAATTATTTCCCATTATGAAAAAAACAAGTATTTCCAACCTGTCGTTTCACCTCCGTGTCCAGCTCTGAGGCTGAATTTTAGCCTCAGCCTCACTAATTTGGAGCAGGTGATGTGGGGAAATTTATAATTGTGCTTTTGTTCACACATTCACAGCTGACAATGTACCACCTGCCACTGTGTGAAGCTCACTCTGATTATATGCCGCCTGTACTTGCCATGTGGTTCTCGCACAGCATTTGTGTCACAGATTACTTCTACTTCCATAATAATTCAGACAGGCTTTGCAAATACGCTCATTGGAGATGCAGAACATAATCTCCCCTAACAGGGACATATTTAAACTCCCGCGTATAAACACGCATTACTACTTCGTATCGGAGTATCTTAATACGTTACTATTCGTTGCACTGTAATGGGAAATACGGTGTGTCGGCTGCACTTTGTTTCCCCCGGTGCCGGTCGGAGGTTTCGGGCCTCACTAAGATGAACGTAAACCTCAAAACGTTCCAGCTGCAAAATCCGTTGAGCACACATCTGTCATGACTAGCTGGTTCTCACTAAGGCTGTGAAGTTTCTCCACAAAAGCTTTTGTTTTTTTCAGAGACACGCTTTAAAGCAGCTGAGGTTCACTGCTTCCCTGCAGAACTTTTAATTGAATGTTTATTTTTCAACGTAAATTGTAACTGACTATAACAATTTTGCCTGCTGCTTGATTGGAATTGTATGTTGCACACGTCCTTGAACTTCCCACCTCGACGTTTCGCTTCTTTTGAAACACGAATCCTTAAGCTGGATCAGGCAAATTGTAAAGAGAAAAGGTTTTATTTCTCTGAATGGTTGTCAGACGCTTATAATAAAAAGCCTGAGCGTGGCGTAAACCAGCAGGTTCAATGGAGGAGTTTCCCCGGTCGATTACACTGCAGCCCGTTTAGTGGCTGCTGCCTGCAGCGCTCTGCCTCGATACATAACCAATATCCGATTTCAGGTTCGGTCTTAAAATGGAGAGAGAGAGAGAGGACGGCACGGTGACTTTTGTGAAACTCCACTTCATCGCCCCCATCTCGCCTCATCACCCTGGAAAAAAAGAGACTCCATCAGCAGCTAAAAGGCCTGACCGAGGGATGATGTAGGACCGCGGTGAGCAAATCCGACAGGACTCCACCAAACGTCTCCCTGCTGACTTATTAGCATCCTGAAAAGTGGGTCAATCAAAGGAGAAGGGGAGAAGCGTGTTTTAAAAAACAGAAAACCCCAAGTATCACAGAACTAAAGAAAAGCATATGCTTGATAAAACCGTATTAAAAAAATATTTACTAATGATACTTCCAGAAGCCTGTTGGGCAGAAAGTGGAAAGATTTGGCAAAGAAAACAAGTTGTAAGAGAATTTCAGAGCCATTTTCAAATAAGTGATCTGTGCTCGTTAGAACCATTTCTTCTCTGCTTTGCCCCGATAACAGTTCCTTACCTGCTTATTGAAAACGGATTTATTAAAGGGCAAAGAGAAGATTTATTCCCTACAATGCCTAAAATATTTTGCTTTGTGTTCCACATTGTTGTTGTTGTTAAGCAGTCAGTAGATCAGGATACACAAGGCCTTCATGCTTAAATCTGTTTCATCACATGACTGCATTAAAATGGATATCGCTGCAATCGGGCAAACAAAGTTAAATTACAAATAAGACTGTAACACAAGCCAATTAAGAAGGAACGAGTCCATTCTGAAATATGTGATATGTTTGCAGTGTAAGACAAGTATCGTATCAGATATGTTTTTTTCTACATAGCAAGCAGGTTGGAAGTTTGAGTCGTTCAGATGCTCATGTGACCTCTACGCTTCTAATGGTGACAATGATCTCTGTTCCTGCAGATTAGAAATGTCACAAATGTCAGGAAAAACATCTATTTTCTTTTGCTTATGCATGGAATGGGAATCAAAATGACATCGGTCTAACAAATATTTATAGCATGATGTTAAAGTATATGTGTGTTTTTCCATCGTTTTACACAGCCCGTAAAAACTTTATGTAGAGTGTCTAAATATTTAATGGCATGTAGAGGCTTTTTTTCTGGATTTGCTGTGTTTGCATATTTAAATGCAGTGAGGCTCTGCAAGGAACTGAAATTGTGATAATTGGAAAGTACGGGCTTCCAGCAAATGGACTTCTTGTACATTTATCACTCATTTCATTGGGATTATAATTCACTCCGGTCCATCATTTAAAAAACACAACGCAAAGACGCGTGTGCAAATGCACGCGTGTAATAATGTGTAATATTGTGCATTCAGCATCCTAATGATTCTGGCTTCTGGATAGTGAGGGAAATGTCGTCGTGTTAATAGTAAAAATGCAGATTTTGGCAGGTCAACTGTTTGTTTTTCTTGTTGTTTAAACCTAATATTGGTTATCCTGGCGGATTCCTTCTTTGGACCTGGTGGCTTTGTCCTGTGTTGAGCTTTGCCTTCATCCTTGGAAATAAAAGCAGCAGAAAAGAAGGTAGGGTGACACTTCATAAGTGGAAAATGTATTTTTTTCTCACTACATCTTTGCCTTTTCTGCGTCAAATCTTTGAAGATATTTGTATCCTCAGGCAAAGCAAAAGTACTGAGCCGAGAGCTTTTCAATGTAAGACTTTTTTGTTTTTTTTTATTGTTTTTGCTCGACAAAAAATGCAGAGTAGCATATTTTAGACACGCTGATGGCGGCTGAGCCTCAGGGAGATGCAGCTCGTCTGTGTGTGGAGTGCAGTTGTCAGGCTTCAGGTTCATGGAGAGATCTGAATGACAATGTATGAACAACATAAAGGAGCTGGAATTCAAAAGCAAGATGAAAGGTCTACACATTGTCATATATGCTTAAGCAGCCTGATCTCCAAAACCTGTTCGTAAAAATGTATACGAAAATCTTGAAGATACAAATTCGTAGTGATACATACTAAATAAATACGGACTGGCAACTGATGACGTCACCCTATTCAAAGTGAATGGGGACCTGCACCCCGTAACGATGTAAAATAAACGTGTTATAATTGCATTTTTAACAAGAAATCAATGTTAACTTGTAAGAATAGAATAGTAACCCTAACGTTCACTCAAGAATCCAACATGGTCCACCATGTTGTTCACTCAAGGGGCGTGGTTAACCAACGCCAGTTCGTATGTATTGTTACGAATTTCTATGTCAAATATTTCGTATACATTTTTACGAACAGGTTTTGGAGATCACGTTGGCTTAAGTTTGCGAGAATCCCTTTCAATTTGCAGGTATGAGGTCGAACAGGAACGGCTGAAACCTCAACCTCATAATGGCTCCAGAGGGAAACTTTTCAAAGTTTTTGAATGATTATACAAAAGTTTACTCTAATCCATCTGGGAGATGCTAAGATATAAGTGGAAGCCTTGATACGTGATTCACACATTCAGTAAACATCGGCAAAGCTAGTTTCTCTACCCTGAGGTAGGTGTAGGTGTGTTTTTATCACAATAAAAGAAAACCCCTGCGAGTGTTCTGATGTGTAAAAATCAGTTTACATGTTACTGATGAAGAACTGAATCAACATAACACACAAAAATTGGCTATAAAAGTCGCCTATAAAAGTCTTATAAAACACGGAGATACCAGGCTAAAGACACACCTACGTGATGCATAGACATAGTAGGCATAGAAATACTGCAGAGGAGGCTTTGGTGGCTCAGAGAACATCAGGGGCTGCAGAAGAGCATGAAGAAAAGATTGAAGCGGAGGAAGACCCGGTACAGCTGTTAAAAGAAGGACCCTGAAGTTGAGATTTTTGTACTCTGCCCAAGTTATATTTCTGTTGTGGGACACTTTGTTAGTCTGTGGGACGCTCCTCGTCTCTGTGTGAACACAGAAAGTCATTTTGGTCCAGAAGGGACTGACACCCCATAATAAATGTTTCAGACGGGACGGACGGCTTACTTCGTCGGCTAAGTGAGTCTTTTGTCACATTCGTGGTTTTTGGAATTCATCACACTCCATGATTACAGCTTAAACACGAAGATGACTGAACAAAACAACTCAAAATCATCTTGTTGGTCGAGTTTTGGTCACAATTAACCTCATCCTGTGTTGATTCCACTTAGGATCCCATTTCTTCATGCATACTAAACCTTGCAGTCAAGACCCTTCTCAAGAGGTTTGATCAGCCGTTTTCTTTCCCTACAGAACATGGCACCACGCAGCTTTCTTGAAAGAGCATCGATATTTTCTGCATGAAAGAGCCTTCACACTAAATTCTAAAGCTACTTGGTGGGACTGCTCTCTTGATCTAGGGTGAGTGTTGGGATGAAAATCCCTGTGTGTGTGTGTGTGTGAGGGGGATGGTTGTTGGATGACTTCTGTAGGTATTGTGCACTTCCTTAGAACATATTTGTTGAAAATGTCTGCTTGATAACCCCAGAGATATGAAGTCTTCCAGCCCCTCTTCTACCAACCGAGCACGGATGGATTACTTATCAAGTCCTATAAGGCGCCGACAGAGGGGCTTAACTGCAAAGACTCAAACAACTGCACGAGCAGTGAAACCACTTCTAGGATGTAGAAAAGGGCTATAAGGAGAAAAGGGATAGGAGATAGTTACCAAATTACTACAAGAAGAAAAATGCAAAAAGTAAAAAAAATCAAGAGGTTGGGAAGGTTTTGTGTCTTGTGTTTCCTGTGGGAGGGGTGCGATGTCTGTTCATTTTCATAATCCATCAATGCAAATTGAGTTTCAGAGTAAGTATCACTGGATAAAGCAATATATTTCTTCATATTGTAGTCATTTTGCATGCTGTAATTAAAGCGTCAATGCCACGGTTGATCTGAACGTGAACAGGTCACCTGCTCACCATGTAATACAATACCAGTAGCCCAGGTTGCCACGGCTACATACGATTGCAGGGTAAGAGTTCAAAGGTGACTTGACTCGTGCCATTGATTTGTGCCTGCTAACAAACTGATTGTCACGTAGAGCTCATTTCCCACAAAAGCGACTCCCACTCATTATAATCCATGTAGTCAGCCGCTCATTTATCCGTGTGCTACTTCTTGTGAGGTCTCGCAATTCCATGAAAAGCTAATATGCAGCAATTCTTTTTTTACTACAATCCCTATTAAAAAAATATTTACATAAGCATTGAAGTTGACATTGAAATCTCGAGGAAGAGAGAAGTTAATGTATGAATATAACTTTCCTGAGTCTATAAACTCATTAACGGACGGGGAACTTCAAAGGACAGCAGAAATAATTTAAAGAAAAATAATTAGGGCCCGCTAGAGCCGTCATTCATTTCAAGCCATATAAATTGTTTGATTAAAACACAGTGTGGGTTGTCATTCATTGAGTGGAAGAACTCATTTTGAACATTAAGAACGATGACGTAATCAAACCGTCATCTCCTGACCTCTTTGGACCCTCTTGGTGTGATCTACTTAAATGACAATTTCTTTGACCAGTGCTATTTGTTTTTACAAAATGTTTAAATGGGATTATGCTGACACAATAAAAGTAAAATTTTGTTTTGGGAATTCCTTGTGTGGAGACATTTTGAATCCTGGAAGGGGAATGGCGGACTGAAATGAAGGAATATAGAAATCTATAAATAAATGCCCACTGTGACTCTATGTCTTAGCAAAGAATAACGGTAAATAGTGCTGAAAAGTGAAGGTTCTTGGTTAAACTAAATGCAGAATCAAGCAATGTGATGATCTGCAAACATCCAGTCAAAATGAAATGAGCAGTTGCCAACAGCTCCTCGGGCGGCATGTGGGGGGGTTCCAAAGTACACCTGCGTGGAGCAGCTAGGTTGTGAACTCCCCGTGACACCAGCGCGTGAATGCACCTCGGCATCCATCCCTGAATGATGTGTGGGCTGCCAGCTGAAATGGGCTAAATGGTCTCCGAGCCCTTCAGAGATGCACTCTGCTCCGCAGCCTCGACTGGTCCACAGTCCATGCACCTGGGGCAGCATTACACATTTCACCAGCATGTATGCGCTTAATAAATGATATGCCGCTCTATGGATGTTTTCTGAAACATAAGTGGAATGACGTGTTGTGGGACTTTAAATAGGAGCACTTGTGAATATTCCAGAGATCACAGTGACATATGATTTGCTCACCCTACAATAGAAGCCCTAAAAGCAAGGCTTTCAAAAAAGGAGCGGGTTCCAATTCCCTCTCTCCAGAGAGGCTCACATGGGACACCCAGTCATCTCCGGGCAACCAAAGATCCACCTCTCTTCCCATTTATGGATCGGCCGCTAGTTGGACTTTCCTGTCAGCTACCAAGTTGCACCTCACAACAGGGTGCTTTCAACGAGACTGCGTCCATTTACAGTAGATGACGCGTGCGCGGGTTCAACTCCCATCCACCCCCATCCCCAAACAAAACCATTGGTAAATAAAGCGATTTATTGATGTTATTGCAATATTCCCTTCAGGCAATAATACCAATAATGAAGTATTGCTCTGTTATTATTAATATCCTTATTGCGAGGGAATTGGGGGCAAACTAAACAAAAGGAGAAATTACTGATGCGTAAGAAGACTTCCTGCGGGATACAACTCCATGAGTATAAACACGGGCAGTTTCATCTCCACTGCGCATACACAAGACGTAAAAGGCTGGCGCTTTAATGCTTTGTGAAATGTAACACATTTATTGGGAGGGCCTTCTCCGCTGAGATTACTGATGCATGCCTAATCAAGTAGAAGCAGTGGGGATATCAATTAGAAGAGAAGGCTCACCCACCTGTCAGCCTGGACCATCTGCAGGCTGAAAGCAGTCGCACTCAGAGATCCTCCAACCAGCCGATACTTAGTGGGAAATGTTGGATTCAATATTAACATCAATTACTTCACAATGAACGCTTCTGCAAGCCAGAATTGCACTGGAGCCCAGCAGTCTATGGTTTACCCCCTCGACTACTTCAATATTCCGTTATATTCTCATTGTTTTTTTTGTAACAATGACAAACAGTTTAACTCCTTTTAAGAGTTCAATACTCCAATTCCACCTAATCTTGTGTCATTTTGGGCAACTATTCCAGCTTTCTTTGTACACGCTGTTAATGCGTAATATTACAGTACGTAAGTACAAGGCCGGGATGCTTTGCATTAGTCTTATACTCAAAACTGTTCTCTACTATGAAATGATGTACTTTGCAAATCCAGCTACACAATATTACATTTGATCTGACTGATTCACTGAATTATTCAAGTCACGGAAGGTCAAATGAAAATGTAGTTTCTAAAAACATGTATGCATGTATCGGTTTTCCCCAGAGGCCGGACCAGCCAAGCAGCCATTTGACAGCTAACATGACACAGGGAAGGTTTTGTCATTCCCAGCTCAGACATTCATACCGGTGGCGAGTCCTGTACACAACTATTGTAGCACAAAAAAACTACCAGGGGATTTGAACACTTCCCAGGTGTTGAGAAATAAATGTAACTTTGTACACAGTTAGATGCAAATCCTTATTTAGCTTTGTGCTGGACTGATGTACCTAAAATGATGGTCTTTTTGTTGATCAGACCTACAGCAGCTTTGACATTTGAGGACTCGACGACGAGCACCACAAAGAGAACCTTCTTTGCTTTCTTACATTCTCTTATTCATGAGTTGGGTTAAATGCAGTTGGACTGGATGGATGTGAGCATTGGGACTCTGAGTGTTAGTATTCATGATTTTCTTTTCTTTGCACTGAAGAGATCTGGATTGAATTAATACATAATTCTCACTTTGTTCTGCATTTTGGTCCCCCAATATCAAGCTTTTTTTGTTTGAAGGCCGCTCTGATCCGGTGAACAGTTGGGATTGTCTCCCTGATGGAGACGAGCAGAATAAGGCCTCAACCTGTTTGAGTTGAATATATTCTCTCTCTTTCTTTCTAGTGTTTCTAGAAAAGAGCACCCTTGGCAAACCCACTCTGGTTACAACGTATTGAAAATGTAGGTGCTCAGTGACGACCGGACAGTTTAAAATAACCAAGAATGTCGTGTCTGCATGTGACAAGACAGAAAACTGAACCAAACATTTTCATTTGAAAGATTTGATAGTTTTCACTCCTCCACAGACAGCTTCATCCTGTGTGCAATTTACTAAACTGAAATATTTTAACTTGAATTTGAATTCCTCCGCTCTAATTGAGTTTTGGGAGGTGCAGCATCAACAACAATCTCCAGGCAAACATAACACATGTAATGATTCAGTGTGCAAGTATTCTTTCCAGCATTAATTAAATTAATAAAATAAGAGAATAGAGATGTATTTTTTTCTTTTAGAAAATAGACAGTTAAGTAAAGGCAAAACAAGTTAATTACGCCGCAATAAACTATTTTCTGCCAAATATTTGTTATGTTTTGCAAGTTGGTTGTACAGGATAAAGTTGTACAGATTTATTGGGATGGGGGGGCGTGAACATTTTTCTTCAACCTAAATTGGTCGTGCCAGAAAAGGTTTGAGAACCACTAATCAGACTTTTCACAACCCCCCCTGCTCTGGGTCTCAACCGGGGTCTTTAACCATGGGCCGCAGACCCGCAAGGGGCCAAGGACCTACAGGGGGGGGCCTGCTCTAGGTCTTCAACGGGGGTCTTCAACAAGGGGTCCTGGATTCCCAAGGGGCCGCAGACCCCGTTGTTGAAGACCTGCAGCTTGGAAGTCCGGGGCCCCTTGGGTTAAAGAACCCCCGTTATATACTTCCGGCAGGGGGGCCCTCTCCCCCACAGCGCACAGGCCATTTCTGTATATCAGCTCAGTGACGAGGAAGGAAAATGAACATATGCTGTTGAATGTATTTCTTAGCTGTCATTAATTCCATCACTATCAGTGTGTGTTGTGCTGACGATTCTCCCCTGTGTTTCAACCCTTTCTCAGAAATGCAATCCAGCAATGAAGGCAACGATTGACAACGGCTCAAATAACACGGCCGCAACCCAGGAAGTGACAGGTCAGTGGGAGCCGACCCCCAACCGGCGAAGAACCCATAAAATAAAGATCACCAGGGCGACGGTGATCCAAAGCACTACCATATTCACATGGTTAATGTTCCTGCTTCTCTTCTTTGCTGGTGAGTGATTCGGTCTTGACGTGCTTTTCTTTCATTTCCGTCTCCGCTATCAAGCGGGACTTTTTCCGTTCATTTCTCTCTCGTTTGTCAGTACGAGGAGAAGGAGGTGTACCACACCTTCAGGGTCCGTTCACAGGTACGAGTGAAAGAAGGTCAACCAACCCCAGAACATTTAAATGAAATGCAAATATCAGGATTTTCTTTTTATATTAGAAGCAACATTGATTGTGATAATCAACATTACTTCTAATATTAATACAATTATTATAAAATGTGAACTTTATTCTAGTGATTTTAATACAAATACATAGTTAAAACATGAACTAGAATCATGGGGTTGCATTGTAGCTTCGTGTGTGTGTATCGCTCTCTTCATTCTAGCTTCCAGCATTCCAACGCATTTTCAGCATTTTCTAGTTATTATTAGTCACTATTATCGATAACATGAACGCAGGCCGGATGATGGTGATATCCAGGACCCAGGGTGATACAGCAGAGGAGACAGGAAGCACCGAGCAACCTGAGATGGCACACACATGACACACACACACATGACACACACACATGACACACACATGACTCACACATGACACACACAGCGGCCAAAGAGTCATGGTCATTTTCCCACTGTACAGTTGACCCGGGCTAAAACCCCTTTCTGGTATGAAGTTATGCACAGTGGGGATTGACTCGCTTTGGGACGCAGCCTTAGTGGCCATTTGGGGAACTGGGGTTAATGTGCTTCATGTTTTCGTGTTTGAAGCAGGCTCGGCGAGGTTGGATACGCACTTCTTTCCACAAATTGAGACTGTGACACATTATAATCAAATCTGGTTATTGACAACCTCATCTTTTTAATTGGTATAATCTAATCTAATCTTGGCATAATGTAATGTGTTTAACAGGATTGATGATTTAGCCATGGATGTTTTTCCTGTGTGGAAAGTCTCGGCATAGTTCTCATGGTCCTATCTATGATTATTATGATGCAGAGTGAAAATAAAACCCTAAATGCCTCTTGGAAACAGCCTCTATTTTAACAGAGTGCTATGCTATACACCATGAACATGTAAATGTTGGCCACAGACAAGCATATAGACACACATACCGTATAATGACATTGACATGCTTTTAAAAGGCATTATTTATCTGTAGCTGTGAATAATTTATATATATTTTGAAGTAGGTTCCAAGCCCTTTCTGCATCAGCAGAATGCCTAACGAGACTGATGGGCTGAGGATGCTGCTATTCTGCTATGATTTTGTGTGCGTGTGTGTGCGCGCGTGTGTAGGTGTTGTGTGTTTTGTGTGAGGGAGGGGTCCAGAAGATCACAGGGCGAAGGGCTGCATGCAAAAGGCATCTTTCATTCTGAGGTTGTGTTTTTTCCTCGTGCTCAAAGTGCAAAAGTCTGTATAATGTGGAAAACCTCGGTGATAATTGCAAACCATTTCAGTTGCAGAGGAAAGAGCTCTCTGAATCCCCAAAACAATCTCTAACGCCCTTAGAGAAAAGTGTTTACATCAAAGCGGCGTCAATAATTCCACGCTGAGACTAATTTCCTACAGTTTAAATTTGTGTTTGTCCCTGACAAGCTCAGGAGAGCTTGGGAACTGTGCAGAGAAGCAAAAACGCCTCCAAGAGTTTGATGTGTTGTACATTTCGTGCTCCATCATCTCTAGCTCACTTCTAGGGGAACAGCTATACATGCTTGTTCACTGTCTGTGCAGGCAGCAGCAAGGAGGGATTGACAGACGGCAGGGTGCCTGTAACCGGATTTACCCTTAATTTGAATGAGCCTTTTCTACACTACATTAGGCAGAATGTGTGAGAGACCTAATAAAGTAGGGCCCTTCTTTAGTGACAGCGATGAGCTAAGTTCAGCCATTACCCTTGAGAAATCCTCTTTGTTACCTGTAGGGAGAGTCTGCTGAGCAGGCCCGCCCCTTTTTCACCCCTACTTTCTGCCAGTCAAACGCTTTGACTGATGTTTTTTAGTTTTTTATTTGAAGATCACTTCTTTGGCATTTTGTTGGAAAGATTATAGAGTAGGGGAGTGGAGGAGACACAATATGTAACGAAGGTCTCAGAGCCGGAACTGAAACAGAGACATTTCTTTGTATTTCACATGCTGTAGACACCAGGCTTAAAGTTTCAGGATTCAATGGATGTTCTGCTTCTCTGTTGTTCCTACGGGCTCGACGATTAAATGTGTGTTTTCAGTTTTACGTGGTGAGTATGACGGGACGAAGGAGACAGTTTGGGGACCCACTGTAGTATAGAGAGGGTCGAAGTCCACATAGGTCACACAAACAGGACTGTAAACCAGTAGAGGTTTGCTTGTGTCCTCTATTGAAAGTAACCTTTAGAAAACCCAAACCGCAATGTTTTCCTAAACCTAAACAGGATTTTTTATTTAATTGCAGCAGCTCCATTCTGGTAATGTGTGGGCTTCACCTTATGTGAGGCATTAAGGCCTCTGCACACCGGGAGCCTCATGAAAAAATCAAAACCAATGCGAAAAGATCAGCGCCAATATCTTCCATTGAATCCGATCACACAGTAAATTTGCAAAAGTAGTTTGCGTAAGAAGGCTCAGGACAATAAACTGATCCGAAAAAAAAGACTTGCTTTTTCACAGTGTAATATTGTTGTTGTTGTTCAATGTGAGAGTTCTCATTGTCAAAAAAATACTGACGTGCAATAGAACCGCATTGTGTGTGTGAATTTACAATAAACACCAGGAACTGCGTCGCTGCGGGCACAGCGGGTGCTAACAAAGGTGTGGAAGCTCTTGGATGGATGGCAGCTCATGTGTCACAAACGTCACCTTTGAACTTAATCGACTCGGTAAACATCCCAGAAAAATGATTGACAGCTGCTGTACACACATGCCTCAAGGCAAATAATTGACAGAAAGGAACGCAGGAATGAACCTTTTCATTATTATTTTCTGTTATTATTTACAGAGGAGGAAGGGAGAAGAATGAGAGACAGCATTGTTTACTGGTAGGCATACTCTTTGTGCTTATTTGTTTTTACTGGTCACAGTCTTTATCATTCATGTCAATGCAGAGAAAATGGGGCCAAAATATCTGCTTGATTAATGGAATCAGTTGTTTTAACAGAATTTGCTCGTCGTGAAATCGACAGATTAAAAAACTAATCCCAGCCGTTGATTGAATGTAATGGGAACTAATGAGATCCAGAGATGCACTTATCTTTATTCACTGTGTGTAATCTTAACCTAATGCTTAATAATTGTGTCATTACATGCCATCTGTTATTGCTAATGGAAATCAAGAGGGGCTTCAAAATGCTTCACTAAAATCCTTCACACTATAGCTAACCACCATGTAATTCCCCCCAAAAGCCCTCACTGGATGCAGCGCTCTTGGCTGAGCAGGTACAGAGGTGATGTAATCATTACCATATATTTCAGGCCCTTCTGAAGCTGCCGTGGCAGTGGACGACTGTCCCCTTTTCCCCCTTTTTATAATATCCGGGGGAAGAAACCTGCGTCCAGCTCTGACATCTCTGAGACGATCGCCAAACATTGGGTGATTTCTTGCGGGAAAGCGCTCTCTCTGGATAGCGGTGGACCATCTGCTCGAATTGCAATTGAATTCAGGGCTCAGGCCAAAGAGAGCACTGCCAAGTCTCTATTGTCGCTCGGCTGTGACTTTTCTCTGCTTGTCATCCCCTGCAGTGGACATTTGATGCCTTGAGTTGGCAGTTGATGGTGTGTCTGGAATAATAATCACAGCTTACGAAACCATGTGCTTGTTCACGTATTTGACAAAGCACATAAAAGGGAATTTTTTTTATATTTGGAGATTTTAATGACTGTAGACAACAACTTGACTAAGATGAAGTGAAAAGCTTTTTAGACGTTTGAATATATTTAATCTCACAATGCTCAACGCACAATGTACTAAATGTTCAGTAAACAGATACTCTTTAAAACTTAGACAGCCGCCACCTTCTCACTGAAATTCCCGCTGTTGTTGAGAGACCCAGAAGAGACCTGACAAATGGCTGCAGACAGCTTCATGCCTGTCAGACTGAGAGCCGAAGATGTAATTATTCCACTTACCTGCCACTGTAATTGAAGTCATAATAGACGATAAGTGTCGGAGAGGTCTTCCTGTCGCACATTAACATCAGATGAATACGGTGAGAGGCACCGTCGACGAGGTTGGTGTCTCTTCTGGGAGGACTGTGTCAGCAGTGAACACTGTAGTCATTGTCCGTATTCCAGACACAGTTATTTTAAGGATGGAAAATGCAGAAATGCAATACATGCTGTTCAATATCCCCTGTCTTGTATGTCAAAAGTAATATTTTCTATATTGTTTTTGTTTTTTGTATAATTTGTTGGGTGCACCAATATTTCTCTACTGCAGATTATTAAATTGCTTTACAGCACAGTAAGAAACGGTTAAAGTTGTATTGTTTCTTCGAAATTAAAGATCTGGCATGATCTTATTGGCATGAAATGGCGGTCAGCACCATCGTTCATTGATCCTCCAGAGAGACAAGGAGGAAAATAAATGGCAGGGACTAAAGAAAGGGTGTGCAACACCTTCTTTGGGATGAACAGACTAAAAACGCGTTGTATCAAACATGCCTCAACGTTTCCAATTATAATACATACAAGGAACATTCATTTAGTGTTTATTTTGTCGCTCCCTGGGTATAAAAGTGGTATTTTTTGACCATCTTCCCAGTTCAGTCCTGGTTCTGGATCTCCTGTGTTTCCCGTCACTGCAGCCGGCTCGGCAATCGTGGCCGGGGCTTCAGCAGCACGGGGTCAGTGTTGGTTCCCAAGCCAAACGCATTCAGAAAAATACCTTAAACTACAGGACTGTAATATATATATATGATAGATATTATAGAGGAAATGCACTTATCAAATGGTCCGGTTATGATCCGGCCTTTATATTATTGAACTATAGACAGTTCTTCCAAGTAATGCAAGGCCTTATTTATTCAGTCCAGT